ACATGTGTAGCAACATGTGTAGCAACATGTGTAGCAACATGTGTAGCAACATGTGTAGCAACATGTGTAGCAACATGTGTATTTGTTTAAAACCAATTATGTCAGCCCATTCTCAACATCTCTGCAAGGTTAATACCTCCAAGGATAGTGAGAACAGCACCTTGTTAAAACCGTCAAGGCACAGCCCTGGTAAGTGACAACCTGCGGTTTGATATGTTTTAAAGTGAGGAGGATCAATGAAACACACTTTGTTCAGCCTGTCCCAGACTTACACTTTTCGATCGTTCAGTAACATTCCATTCATCGTCTCAATTGCATGGGTAGCAGCCTCCTGTGTTTCAAAGTGTACAAAACCATATCCTTTTGATCCGCTCTCATCACTGACAACCTGCACAGAGAAAGTTTTTACAAGTCAAGAAAGTAAAGTGCATCCTTTGGTACACCATCCCTCTCTCTACAGATTAAAACAAATCTGATTGTCTCCATTTGAATTGTTATCCTTAGTGTATCCAGAATTCCATCCACTGGGTGCAAATAGACATTGGACAAATGCTCAATCTTATCTGGAGGATGTTCACTGGACCCAAAACATTAATGGTTTTCTCTCCATACATGCTGCTGGACCTGCTGAGTTTTTCCATCAATTTCTGTTTTTGTCTCTCAATTTTATTGTTTCCAATGCCCCCACAAAAACACCACCCCTTCATCCCCCACCCCCAAACAGGTGTATTTTACTGGGGAGGAGATGGCCTAGTGGTATTATCACTAGACTATTAACCCAGAAATGCAGTTAATGTTCTGGGGATCCAGCTTTGAATACCACCATTGTGGAAATTGAATTCAGTAAAAAAAACCGGAATTAAATCTGGATGACCATGAAACCATTGTTAATTGTTTTAAAAACTAATCTGGATTGACTAATGTCCATTAGGGAAGGAAATCTGCCATCCTTACCTAGTCAGCCTACATGTGACTGCAGACCCACTGCAGTGTGAATGACTCCACTGCCCTCTGGGCAATTAGGGGTGGGCAATTATTGTGGGCCTAACCAGTGGCACCCACATCCCATGAGTGAATATTACTGATCAACTCGATCAATTTCATTTATAACATTGGAATGTCTACAGCTGCAGTTGCAAGTTCCCTACGTTATTGACCTTCACTGGGTAACAGGGACATTTCTCCCCCTCTAGTTAGTGGCCTCTCTCAATGGCTCGACTGGCCTTCTAATCCAAGACAGTCCCAGGCATACTAGTACCCACAATTACTTGCACCAGCGAGTGTTAATTGCTAAAATTATAACCAATAGAGGAATTTGGGTTGCGGCTAACTGCACTTTTAACCTGTGATCTCGGTACTCATGTATACATGTGGTGTTTGCACATGACATTCACAACTGTTATGGTGCAGGAGGCCATTCAGCCCAACGTGCCTGCACCAGCTCATCGATTGAGCATCATGACCGCGTGCCAATCTCCTGCATTATCCCTCATCCCCTTGCACTTTATTTTCATTCAAATTAAATGCCTGAATCGAATCTGCCTCCACATTTCCAGGCACTGCCTTTTGTAAAAATGTTTCTCCCCATCTACGCTCCTCAATTTTGTACCTAAATTTTAATTCCCGCAGCTAGCAAGGCAGGATTTGAACACACGCAAACAAAGCCTCACCCAGACCTGTGAAATACTAACCAGCAGCATTAGCACCAAGTCAAAATTAATCACTGTGGCTACTTCCCTCCCTCAGGCACTGAATCCTGACAGATGGTTAACTGTACATCACACGTGCATTTATCTATGTGGCTGGCTACGCAACTACAGCCAAAGCCGCAATTCAGGCTCATCACGATTTGTATTGGACAGCAGAAAGTAGAAGCATTTCCCAGTCAGACCGGGATGGATCCAGATACACGATCACAAGTTCCTGACAGTCCCAGGGAAGGGCTGCATAGTCGGAGCTGCTGTCTTCCAGGGAACGGCTTAAAACCAAGGCTCTGGCTAACCACTCAGGTGATCCAAAATAATTGCAGTAGCTCTTTTCTAAGGAGAACAGGGAAGTTCTCCCCTCATGACCTGAGATACTTAAAAGACCTGTAATAAGAGAGGTCATCTGGTCATTACCATATTACTGCTTGCAGGATCTTGCTGTGCATGGCCTAGTAGCCAAACTAATTAGATAGTAGTCAAACTGCAACTCCTGTGGATCATACAGAACGTTTGGGATGCCGTGCAGTCATGAGGAATTATAGAAAAGCAAGTCTTTCTCAGCATATCAAGGCAAAGTTTCACCTTCAAGCATTACAACATTTAAAAGGCATCTGGATGGGTATATGAATAGGATGGGTTTAGAGGGATATGGTCTCTATGATTCTCTGGATGGCAGCCCTGCATAGGGAGGCGACACTGCCGTTGCACACTCACCACCCAGGCTCTTACCTTGCAGGACAGAATGTTCCCGAAAGCAGAGAAGGTATCGTACAAAGCCTTGTTGTCAATGGACTCATCCAGGTTTTTGATGAAAATGTTCCCCACTCCCGATTTACGCAGAGAAGGATCCCGCTGAGACCACATGATACGTACAGGGCGGCCCTTAATCACCTCAAAGTTCATAGTGTCGAGGGCACGCTCGGCTGGAGAGAGACGGAGGAGAAATTATTGTCCTTGTGGAAAACTTCCAACATTTTCCTCAATGTGAACATTAACGCTGAGACTTAACACAAGGGCTATTTAGAATCTGATGACCGAGTTGATCAGTCAGCTCATCAACCCTGCACTGCTCTTTACTAGAACTACACAAAAATAATCTCAAAACTCCCCTACACCATACTCCCTATGGCCTCAAACATCAGAACAGGAGTAGACCACTCAGCCCCTTGAGCTTGTTCTGCCATTCAATGAGATTATGGCTGATCTGTGGCCTAGCTCCATATACCTGTCTTTGGCCCATATCCCTTAATACCTTTGCTTAAAATATACATCTCAGATTTAAAACTAACAACTGAACCAGCATCTAATGCCATTTGTGGAAGAGTGTTCCAAACATCTACCACCCTCTGTGTAGAAGGGCTTCCTAACATCTCTCCTGAATGGTCTGGCCCTAAGTTTTAAAACTATATCTCCTGGTTCTAGAATCCACACGCAGTGGGAAGAGTTTATTTTCATCCACCCTTTCTTTATGAGTTAGGGGCAGTAGTAGGTGAAGGGCAGCACGGTGGCTCAGTGGTTAGCACTGCTGCCTCTCAGCGCCAGGGACCCACATTCGATTCCAGCCTCCGGTGACATCTGTGTGGAGTTTGCACATTCTCCCTGTGTCTGCGTGGGTTTCCTCTGGGTGCTCCGGTTTCCTCCCACAGTCCAAAGACGTGCAGGTTAGGGTGGATTGGCCATGCTAAATTGCCCGTAGTGTTCAGGGAGGGGCAGATTAGGTGGGTTATAAGGGGATGGGTCTGGGTGGGATGCTGAGGTTCAGTGTGGACTTATTGGGCCAAAGGGCCTGTTTCCACACTGTAGGGATTCTATGATGATAGTAGCCCATTCAGCCCCTCAAAGATACTCTGCCAGTCAATAATTATGACCTCAACTCCATATTTCTCACTACCCTGAATAACCTCTGACTCCTTTGTTAATCAAGATTCTCAGTCTTAAAAAGTAATTGATGATTATATTTTCCTTGACTTCAGATGTATTATCTACAGAAAAAAAGATAATAGTCTGAGAGTCATTGATCTTTTACAGCATGGAAAGAGGTCTTTCAGCCCATTGTGTTGTGCTGTTCATCAAATGTCCATCTATTTTAATCCTATTTTCCAGCACTTGGCCCATATCCTTTTGTGCTATGTTTTCATTTCTATCACTCCTGGGCCAAAATCCTTCTCTTAACTTCTCTCAATCTTCTGATAATCTTAATGAACTTTCACCGTTGAACTCATTCACTAAAGGGCAGGGGTGTGGGGAAAGGAAGAAATATCTCCTCATAGCTACCTTGTCTATATCCTTTATACACCTTCTGATGTGTAGCCCTTGCTCTTTCAATAGAATAGAGATGTTCAAAATCACGAGGGCATCACAGAGCAGTGAGAAAAACCACTCCCATTGGTGAAAGGTCAAAAATTGGAGGACAATGATTCAAAGTGATTGGCTAAAAGAGAATTGGACGAGCAGTTGGAGGGTAAGATTTGCAGAGATACAGAGAAAAGGTGGGGGGAATGGGATCAGTTGAACTGTTCGAACAGAGCGCTGACAGGAACTTACTGAGGCCTTCTTCTGTTACTCCAGACAGAGTCCCAAGTTCCGCTTCATATCTGGAGATTTCTACCGTCTTGTTGAATCGGAATATTCTCATTGCTTTCTGTAATAGGGCAAGTCTTTAAAATGCCCTCAACTATGTCCAACCATTACCTTGTAGTAGCTTGTTGCTATATTTTTTCTCATGTACAACAAGCTCCCAATTATAGAAGCTAAAATGTGAACTTCTTTAAAATTAATGTTGTCTGCCCTCACTGTCAAGGAATTATTTCATTCAACCCAAGGTCCCTCTGTTCATGCCAAAACCATCCAAGGCAAGACAAAGCAATGGTGGTTAACCACAGTAGTTAAAGATTCTATTAGATCAAAGGAAGTGGCTTATCAGGATGCCTGAAAAAGAAATGACAAAGCTGAGGATGGGAAACAATTTAGAACCCAAAAGAGGATCACAAAATAGATTCAAAGAAAGAAAATGAACACAAATTAGTGAGGAACATAAAGGTAGACTGTAAAAACTTCTTAAAAAAATTAGCTGAAGCCCCACTGACAGGAAAGATGCAAATGTAACTCCACCATTTACAAAGTGAGGAAGAGTAGCAACGTGAAGTACAGAACTAGTA